TTTTCTCATGAGAGAATTTCATATTTAAGCCCTCACCTCTGTTGCAAAATTGTATGGTCCAGGCAGAAAGTCTGTCAGTTCAATAATTAAATCATAATGCACTTTATATTGTGTAAATAATAGGAGCACATTTCTGCTACTGGTCTGGTAGGGGGTGCTTCGGCAATGTAGTCTAAGAAAGACGTCGTCTCCTGCATGCACGTGTCTGTTAGAGATCTATTGTAGTTGCTTGGTCCGGTTCCATTCGTATGTTAGAGAAGGACAGGCACCGTACTAAAATCCAATCAAGTCACCAAGAGTCAGGTTTTTATTTTTGAATTTTCGGAGCTGCTGAGCATCCACAGCTCTGGGCAGCCTTTGCTGCCGCTGCGGATCCTCAGGACCTCTGTACATCAGGCCCCAAACGTTTACGTTGAGATTTAAGCATGTGCTTTTTACGCGTGATCTTGACAAAGCTGCGTTCGGTCGCTCTGTGCTACTTGGCTTTCTCCGCTGTTGGCACAGAAGCTCTCGCCGGCCCTGGGAAGTTTATTCCGGGTGCAAGGGACCGCGTGGGCTTCTCCTGGGTTGCAGGGCGACAGTTGGCCTTGACTCCAGCCCGTTTAGCATAAGCTTTCTTTCTCGTTAAAGTACTATCACAGGAGAGCGCTCGGGAAGAGGCGGAAAGCTTTCTGCTCTGCCGTGGCAAGGCTCACCCACGGGAGGTCCCAAAAGCGGTGACCGCGTAGACTGTCCCACTTGACGAAATGTAAAAAAAGTGACAGAACGTTGCCGGGAGGTCCAGCCCCGGCCGTGCCGAAGCCCCAGCCTTGCTCTTGCACTGGGGAGAGGCTTGTTCTTGAGCAGCGAGAGGTAAAAACTCTGACCCGTAGCCTGGGTGCCTCTTTTGGATACGTCTCCGTGACGCACGCGGTGTACTTTACCCAGAAAGAAGCTGTGGTGGTATTGGCAATCTGCTCTTTGTCATAAATGTTTTATATGTATTCAATATATAAAAATTCATGTTTACATATAGGCATTAATATATTTATGTGTGTATGTTGTACCTTGTAGTAGCTCGTAGCGAAATAATCTACTTATCTCAAGAACACAGTCTAAAGATGGGGCATAAAAGGCAGTTTCTCCTGCTCCGGGTTTGGATAAACGCGTTATCTCACTGAGAGCTGTTCGCGTGGTGTTTATCATGGCCCTTTTAAGATTTCTGCTTTTGAGTGCTTTCACCTGTTCGGTTTTCAGTGAAGTTGCAAGGGAAAAAGCAGCTGAAAAAAGGAAAAACGCGTACTTCATGGCGTTGTCGGGTCAAACCAAGAGCTGTGCTTAACTGACAGCTGCATGTACTGCAGGCCACATTTTAAAATCCCCTAACTCTGCAAGCCTGTAGTACAACAGTTCATAAAATCCCAAACATGCTGTTAGTGTTACAGAACTGGCCTTTATGCAAAAAAACAAGCAATTCCCAAAATCAATGTTGGCATACTTTATTTCTGCTACAGACATCTTAGTCTGATGGCTGCATCATTTTTCCCCCACGGCCTGTTCAAGTGACCTAAACTCATGGGGCAAAGAGTTGGTAGCAGTTGGGAAGCCTTCTGCTCAGTGGACTTACAGCCCTTTTATGCAAAAGCGTAGTATTTTTGTAGCAGAAAAGGGTTTATTATTGTGTGTTTTTATTGTGGAGATCTAAATGAATTAATAAGCAGGTTTTAGCTCCACTGCGTTCATACCTTTTTGCTGTCCATACCATACATATGTATGTACAATTTATAAAAATGATTCTTAAAGAAAAGTATACCTTCCTTTTAATTGTCTATGCTGTTTCCTCCAAAATTAAAATGACCTTTTTTTTAAATTACTTATTTGTTGTGATATTTAAAATTCTCCTTTCCCCTGCTGCCACTCCCTTCCTTATAAATAAAGGTCATATTTGAAATAAGTAGTTTATCCAAATAAGAGTGAAAATATGGACTACACTTAACATATCGTACCATATCATAAACTACTTCCATTTTAGTTCTCTTTGTGGATGAATTCAGCAGAAATCTTGGAAAGATCACAATAACACAGCTAAGGATTTAGCAGTTTGTGTCCAATACCTGGGCGAGCATATTCCCGTTTGCAAACACAAGTGAAATTGTAGTCCAACAGCCTTTGCTGAAATAAATAATATTATTGGAGTTAAACGTAGCGACACAAACACTTGCGTTGCAGTCCAATGTATCTAGCGCTGCTTTACGTCCAAATTTTCCCAGATATGCTGTCTTTTTTTTCCCCCCATAGGTTTTGTGCGTGTGGGAGAAAAAAGGGAATGTGGCCGTTCCCTGAGAAGTCCAGGTAGGAGCTGTCTGACATTAGGAAGCTCAGACATGTGGCTCGCACACCCCGTCCCATCTGAGATTTCCCCTGGAGGGAAACATTTCAGAGCCTGAAACGATTCAATAATTCTTCTGCAGGCTTGGCCCTTAGGCCTCATCCTGTTGGATGGGCACTTTGGCAACAGATTTAAGCCAGTGTCCGTATACGAGTGGATGCCGCAGTATGCACAAGTTATTTCTCTGTTGTTTTTCCGTAGGTTTGTCTATAGGGCATAGTCTCTATTCAGCAATGGCTATAGTAGTCTCTTTAGTTGACCCCATCGTTCTTTCATTTTCGTCTGGAGTTGTTAAAATTTCTCTGCGTGGCTGCAAAAACAAAACCAAGCAAGTCTGAGTATCTGGAGAAACGTAGGATTTATCTGTTACACTATTGTGTTCTTTATAGACATGAAACTATGGTTTTGTGAACTTTCTTTGTTTCCCTCTACATCCTAAGTGCTTGTAGTTTGTTATCTCTTAGTCTGTCGGTGCTGTGAAAGCACAGCTGCTGCCGTCCTTTATAGTAACTGTCTTGCCTAAAACAACTGAATTCTGTAGTGATCACAGGAAAAAGCCCCTGCTGGGGGGACAAGGTGCTTCTGGACTCAGGCATTTTGAAAAAGCTACAGCCAGCTCTTACTGCTATATCTCTTCAAAGTGTGCAGAAGCTTCAATAGGCTGACACCATTTTTGGAAGGTCATTTTGGTGCTAGCAGCTGTCATTGTAATAGAATTGTTCTTCCTAATGTTGTGTCGCACCCATGTTCAGTTCCCCACCTGTATTGCAATAGAGGCAACAATATTTATTACATTAAAATTCAGGAACTCCCCACGGGGCCACCTATTCCATGGTAGGTACAGATATCTTGAATGGTTTGCACGTAAATTGAGCATAGCTGTAGTGGCATGCAAAACAAAACACTCACGGCCAAAATGATGCGTTTTCAGTGAAATTCCAGCTGATGAAATGGGGCAGGTGACCAAATTGTACGATAGCTTTTCTCTGCGATGCTTGAAAGCATGCTCTTACGGAGAAATGCTGGCCCTATGAAAGCAGCTGTTTGGCTGAGTTTTGGCAGATTTTCACTCTGAATCTTCTAGCGATTTGCAGTCGGAGCCATGCATCTCCTTTGCAGGCCCAGCAAACTCCTTCGATGCCTGGCTGGAAAAGCTCGTCGGCCACGGCTTCTAATAATAACAAAAATACTTTCTTGCCTGGCTACACATCACGTTTGTGTTCTTCCATAGAGATATATTGCCTTTTTTTTTTTTTTAATACTAGCAAAAGTCGTAGATGGCATTGATTAAAAACTGGTTTTCCAAAAATGTCAGATTTTAGCACTTTGCCGTTGTTTTGGCATTTCTGCCGTTAATGCAGTTGGATCGTTCCTTCCACGTGCTGAGGCATCATATTAAACATAAACCCCAAGCCTGCTGCATCTTTTATGTATGTTAAATTCTGGAATTTTATACACTGGAGTTCCTTTCTGGCTTTTTCCTGTTTGCTGTACATGTTTTGTGTTTGCATTGTACGCAGAGGTCCTGGCCTGGGGCACCCACTGGGGTGCCTGGGCACCACCCCAATACCACTATCATTAATGACACCCCGCTTCCCCTTCCTCTTTGACAGGCTACCTCTAAATGCTTGAAGGGGCAAACAAGAATTGCCAACTCTGAAAGTAGCCACTTTAAACGCTTTGCAGAGACATACTCTGTCTTTTAGACATCCCAGACCTACCCTAGGTACTAGTAGTCAACAGGGAAGGATAGCAGCTCCTGCATTGTAGATGTTGGTTAGAAATACTGCCAGTCAAATTGGTCTCTTAATCACTGTGGGGCAAATCCGTCCTGTAGGCAGAAGGACTTTGTGTCTAGCTGTTTCTTAATCTCAATAATTTACCGTCGGTGGATTAATCTGAGAAAAAGATCACCCTTCATGTCAGTTGACTGAAGGCAGCTAAGGCTTTCTGCCCAGCCCCGCTAAGCACAGTGCTGATGTACCATCTCTGGATTTATATATGTAGGCACACAAATTAGCATAGAGGGGAGAGAGGAATATTAAATATATATATACAGGTATATAGATGTATCTATATATACTAAAAAATAGTAATCTTTTTCCTGTTTCCAATAGGTCCTTCCCTTTTGATACGTTAAAATTTTTAAATGTCGTCTTTTCCGTTTTCTACATGGGATACGTCCAACGTGCAATATGAGCAGGGAGAAAGATCTCATAAGCAATATCAGCCGAGTATGCTATTAACACTAAACCTCTCCAAGCTGCGTGCAATAGACTCTCCATCTGAAAACAGCAGAGAGGCTGCGGGGTAAAGGCACGGGTTAACCGCTGGCTCCTGCGCGTGTCCCCACCTGGCCGTGTTTTTAGTGCGCGCTGTTGGCAAGGCGCAGCGGGAGCGGAGGGAGTAAGAGCAGAGCGAAGCGCTTCCCGCTGGGGTAGAGTACGGGAAAGGGAGCGGGGGGAGAGCAGCCAGGGCACGACTCGCGCTCCGGGGAGCTGCGGAGCGTGGCGACTGGTATCGGTGATGCCGGCAGTCGGTCGCACCGTCGGTACTGGAAGGTATTTTCCCGCAGAACGGGGCAGAGCGCTCAAATCCCAACGCCCCTCGCAGGGTCTCCTGCCGCTTTGGGGCACGTCTGTCCAGCAGTAGCGCACTGCTGGCGGACAGTCAGCTAGTCCAAGCCCGTGCGGTACCACGGGCTTGAAGCGTTTAGTCTTGCCGATAAATCCCATCAGGGTCAAGTCGGTCCATGGGATGGAAATGCTGCTTTTTCACTTTGCTTTTTGCAAGACTCAAGTAGCTTTACGTTTACTTTGCTGGAGGAGACGTAGGCTTGCACAGGGTGCGTGCTGCAGCTTAGGGGAGCATACAAGGGTTGGTTGCCTGTTAGTTTGCTCCCGCGTCTCGATGTATGCATGATTATTTTGTGTGTTTTTCACAGGAACCCTTCTCCACTCGCTGCTCCGCCTGCCTAATGCTCCAGAAACTGGTTGGGGCTATGTAACGGAGGGCCACTTTATCTGTAGGGCAGCTGCTCTTTTTCGCTGCAGAAGAGGAAAGGTGTGGTGAAAGCTGGAGGGGATTAGAGGGAAAGAAAGGATGGCTCCTGGTGAAAGCAGCTTTCAAGACAAAAATTCTGTGCCTGGCTTTGCAAAAGGGTTTGTGTCATTGTTAACAAGACACTTTGCAGGCGATCACCCCATACATAGTCTTTTTTTTTCTGGGCACCGGTGTCAGTACTCTGAGGTGTGATTTGCAGAAGCGGTCAATATTAGCAGCTGTTGAAAGCTGCACTTTGAACAAGCAAAGTGCTATATAATTGCAAGTACTGTGGAAAACCCATCCACATCTGAAGCCGGGCCCTCCTGATAACGGAAACTGCCTAATTTTGGCTTTGTTCTGCCTGTGCTTGTGTTCCCCACTGAGCAGAAAGGGCAAATGATACCTCCCTGCCTCAAAGGGGTGTGATAAAGGTAAGTTCCTTTGGCTTTGCAGTCTGTGAGTTGATCTGGTACTGATCAATACTGATCATCTCCAGAAGCAAAGGAAGAAGAAAAAATTCTCTGAGGGATGTACTGAGTAGATATTCATGCGGCGTTTGGAAGGTACACATAGGTTAAGCTTGGATTACGTGCAGAATGGTGAATGAAAAAGAAACCTATATGCTGGAGGAGAAGGGAAAGTTGTAAGAGAGAGCGTAATTAAACTCTCTATGCGTATGTCCAAAGGTTGGAATTAAAGTCACTCATAGTCCTTAATTCTGCCAGTTCCTGACTTGATTGCTCAGTTTTCCGGCCTTTTTTTCTCCGCCATTTTGTATGAAACTACATTGGCATGCTGTCTTGTCACAAAAAACGCTGGGTTGTTAAGTAGTTTTGATTTGCTGGTGCTGAACAGAGCCTCTCCTTTGCCTCAGACTTCCCTTATCTTCCACAAGACCACGAGAAGTCCAAGGGCGAGGAGGGTGAGAGGATGTTTTAGAAGCTGTATTAAAATAGGGCTGGCAGGGCCATCAGCTGTGTTCCCCCATTGAAAGGTGGGACTGGCTAAGCCAGGCCATTTCTCACCCCGATTTTCAACCCAGCTGGCACTGGGCAGTCTGCAGAAAGTTGAAAGAAAGTAATTCAGTTGACACTAAACTTAAAACTGCTATTTGATGGTCCTAACCTATGATAGTATGTTTCAGGGTCCACACAGCAAAGAGCATCTATATTTTTTTCCAAGTTAAACAATTGATCAAATCAGCTTTCTAAGATCTCCAATGATGGATATTCAGAGCCTACTGTTAGATGCTTTTCCTCCTGTTGAGCCCATATTTCGCTTGCTACCATCTAAGTCTGTTGCTTTTTGTCTTACAGGCGTGCTCTGGGAGAGGAGATCTGGAAACAGTTTGTTCTCTTCCTTATTGCAGTGCTTTTACATAATCGAAGACTGTTCTTGGGTCTCTCCTGCGTCCTTTCCTAAACATATACAAAGCCTTCCGCCAAGGGTAATTTTTAGCTGTCATCTTGTTCTTGTTGCTTTCTCTAGACTCTTTCTGATGAGTCCATCTCCTTCCTGAATCCGAAGTTATGGAATCCAAAACTGGGAAAAGTACCTTCGCTGCAATCCTGCCAGGCTTGAGTAGAAGGACTGCAAACAACACAAGGGCCTGTACACCTAAAATGCTGATTTTTTGTGACGGCACGCTGTTGACTCATGCACAGTTTGTAACTGTGTCTTCCCAGCTCCTCTTTGGTAGAAACTGCTGCCGAAACAGTCATTTCTTGCTCTATGTCTGTACAGAGGCTTCTTTCAGCTTTACCCCAGAAGCTTGCATTCATCCTGAGTGAGTTGCAGTTTATCTCTTTCCAGATTATTTCTTGAGTTTGTCAAGATCAGTCTCGATTCTCATCCCATCCCTCTGTGCTTCCAGTCCTGCCCAGGTATGTGCCATCTGCGAGTTAAATAATTCATACCCCTTATCGAATCATTGAGTCAGACAGGGAAGAGTGCAGTACGCAGGGCAGACCTCTTCAGCACCTCACTTGATGAAGCCTACCAGATCGACTGTAATGCTAATTAAGTAGACTAATTACAGAAGTCATAACCACTTCCTCCTTGAGGCTGTGATTTTTTCCAGTCGCTGACTTCTGTTTCTCCATGCTTTTTCCAAGTAGGCCATACAGAACCTAAACAGTAGTTCTTGCCCTTTTTTAATAGTTTTAGAATATCCATACTATTAAAATACCGCAGTACAAATTTTGCACAAAGCTTTGTGATATACATCTTTTTTTGTACATGGTAGGGCAGCAGAACACCATCTAACATTTATGCCTTTGCCTCCTAAGTAGGACATAGCAGAATAGCCCGTCAACAGGCGTTCTCCTAAATATTAAAGTTATTTTTATTGGTTTATATGGATTGTTTTAGTGGTCATGCCCTTACTATCTGTCGGCTCTCCTTTTTAGGCACCCACAGTCTTGGCTTAGCCATGAGTGTCTGATGTAGAGAAAAAAATGTGTTCTTGTAAATCAGCCTTTCCAAATCCTGGTAAGGTAGAAAACTGGCCATAATCTAACTGGCCAAAGAAAGGATATTGGATGAACTATGATGTTCATCAAGCATGTTTCCTCTAGCATAAACGGGATATCTGTTTAAGCACAAACATAAAGACTGCATCTAGTGATGTTATAAGCTCCATGGGCCGATTGATTTTGAAATGGAGGCTTTCCCTTGTATCCCCAAATCTTCAAGGATCATTACATAAAGGTACAAAGATTATTTTTGTCATGCAGTAATTTAAATAGTCAACCAAAATACTTGCATGAACTTTATTAGTGCCAATTATGTTTTAGTCTAAATTGGCACTTGTCTGTGCTCTTTCTGCTGCCCTTTTTCCTCTCCTGCCATCCCTATTTGTGTTTGTGTTCTGTCTTTCCCTCCTCCCGTTACTTCGGCGGGTTTGATTTTCTGCGGCATCATTTCTGCCTTGCTGCCGGTTGTTTCGTACAAGTTGGGATCTCGAGGTTAAACCTGGCCAGCGCTCAAATTTCATTTTTCTGATGGAAAAGGTATGACTGTGAGTTTTCTGGCTTTTGCCTGTCAAGAGTTTTTAACTTGCTGCAAGTCATCTTATGTTCTCAAGCATGACAAACTGCAACTATTTTAAATGGGGAATAGCATTGTCCTCAGCGGGTGAAATCCTGTTTCTTTTTGCAAGTCAGCAAGACTCTAAACATTGGCGTACACTCGCATCTTCTACCTGAGCTGTTCCTGCTCCCTCCAGATAAGTTTTAGGCACCTCTTTGTATTTCCTGGGTGGGGAGCTATGTATTTTACTGTACAGAAAGTGTTTCGTGTATCCTGTCATAACGTAGTTGTGTCGCCGTCTCTTTCCCAGCCGTGCTGCAAGCAGTGCCCACCCAGTGGTGCGTGATAACTGACTGAAGAGCTCTGGGTTTGCTTTTTTTTCCAAGTCCCGGAAGCTTCAGCCACATTGAAAGTTAATTGGATTTTCCTTAGTAAGGTTTTTATTGCAAGGTGATCTGACAGTTTGGTGCAGCTATAACTATAAAGAAGTTCCTCCTATTCTATGCAGGTTCTCACCCGGCTCTAATCACTTGACACATATATCCGAGCGCTTTCCAGAAGTGCGGTTAAGCGTATGACTAACATCTGTCACACAGCAGTTGTTCTTTCTTTCATCCCCTTCCTAGAGGGAAGACTGACTGTGCCAGTGTAGTCCTGGCATTTGTAACATAACTTAATTATCCATGCTGTTTGGCGTTAATGTCGTGAAGGGCGAGCTGCAGCCCATCTCGTGCAAGCAGCGGCAGACCCCGATGACTCCCCGCCGCGGGAGCAGACCAGACAGCTGGCTCGCGGGTGGCCACGTTTTGCCTTTGGCACCGAAGGCTTCCGCTCTGCCAGAAGAGAGAGTTCCTGCTGTGACTGGAACCAGCTCAAAACCATGGCAAAGGGCAGTGTGGAGGGGTGTCCACATCGCGATACTTTAGATGTCTGATTTGACTCCCCCCAGTCAGCCTTCCGAGGCACCTAAATCACGTGTGCTGTTAGTTGGCCTTTGTGAACAGCCCCCAAAGCCTCGCTAAGACCGAGGTGGTTGACCAAAAATAGCTTTGGCAGCTGGGCTCTATCCAGTTCTTCCCTGCCTTTGATGTCCCAAGCTCAGCAAAGCCCAAGATCTCTCTCTAAACAGTTACTACCTGATGTAAAAAAATCATCCCCCAAACGATGGGAAACATAAGGCCAGAAGCAGCGTAGAGGCTCGGGAGGAGGGCAAGTAATGAAGCAGGACTGGCTCGCGGGTTGGGCTGTGCTCTTGGTGCGTGCCACAGGCTAGTGCTGAACTTTGTGCAGGATTTTTGTTTTCCTTTTGAGGGACTTGAAGGAGAACAGTTTTGTGGCTGGATTTGGAGACTCCTCCCAAGCATGAGGAGCAGCTCTCTGAAAAAGGTAGTACCAGCGAGCAGGGATTGGCACCTTGGTCTGCTCGGAAGTGGGAACTAGCCTGTTGCTGTCGAATGGCAGAAGGTACAGGACGGGAATGGGGAAGGTCTTGAAAATGAAGATAGCGACGTGCCAGAGCAAGCTTTTGCTTCTGGTGTCAGGCCAGTAAAAGCCTCTAAAGATCAACTTTGAGCTGTTTCAAATGGCGTGATGCCATTTTCGGATAACAAGTCTTCTGTTTCTGGGCAAAGCCCCCCCAGGTCATTTCTTTGGACCGTAACCTCCTTGCGGTTGTTGCTGCCTGCTGCACTCGCAGCGCCCCTAGCCCAGGGTCGGAAACGGCCGCCCAAGGCATCTCCTCTAGGCATCTCCTCTAGGCTCCTATCAGGCAGCGTCACCCATCTCAAACCCTCGGTGCAAGCTCACCTCTTGTCCACAGAGCTTCATAGCATCCTTTAAGAGAAAATGATGTTGACAGGAGCTGGCCTCTTTAAGAGAATGTGTTTTCCTTCCAGTAGTGCTAATCTCAAAGGCTAAAGGAAGCAGTTGCTGTTGGGTCCCCTTCTCCTTTCCATGTGTCTGAGGACAGCAGCGCTGGCGTTCCAGAAAGCCCTCAGGTCGCAGAATTCGTTGTGATCTCTGAGTCCAGTACTCCTTGAGAAAGTTTTTTATACGTGTTGGCTAAAAACTGATCCGGCCTCATTCCCTCCTGAAATTTCACAGATTGTTTCCAATATGTTTTTCCATAAAGTCGGAGTATCTCCTAAAATTTGCTGACATTCTTTTATAAGACCTTAATACTGCAAACCAGCTCTAACAGGCTGGGCAGATGGCATCTTGTCATCTTCTTTACTTTTTAATCTACGCTCACGTCAAATACATTTCCAGTCACGTCTGTTCCTCTTGTCCTGGTCTTTACTGATAATTGCTTGACTCCTACAAGGTACAGCAATATCATTTTGTCCCCCAGTTTTCATGAGGCCTGAAGGAATTTTCAAGTAACACGCTTGTGCTATTTCATCGAGAACACAACGAGCAGGAAGCTTTTAAAATTAGAAGTTGTGGCTCGTGGCCGAGTCAGCCATTGTCATGTAAAAAGAGCGAGCGTGGCGTGTAGAGAAAATCATTTCAGCCAAGTGTACAGCAAGTGCTGTATTAGAATACTTAGCAGAAGTTGTGTTGTGCTACAGTGTGTAAGGATTCATGCGTGAACGTGAAAATAATCTGTAAAGAGGGCTTGAAATAATTCCTAGGCTTCCACTTGTCCTTTCGTTTGCCCACTGGGAAGGACATCCTGAGATCCGAGGGCAGAGGGTTCTTCTGGGGATCCGAACCCCGAGCTGTCGTGCTGGGCACCGGCTTTCGTAGCCCAGCCCTGCCCCAGCACTTGGGGCCCTTTCTTCATCTTCCACCTGCGAAGGTAATTGCAGGTCAGTTCCTGCACCACTAATTCTGGATGTGGGGCAAAAAAAGGACGTGCCTTTCTGGCAGATGGGCTCTCCTCTTGTCCCCTGCAGGCTTTGGGGGTGTTCCTCCTTCCTACAGGTCCAAGGCTTCCCTGTTGTAACGAGACTTTTCTGGATTCTCACATAGCTTGTAGTTACCTTCCATCCCTCGTATTTTAGTTGCTCCCTGTTCTCAAGAAGCAGCTGAGCGAAACTGCAGCAGTTATCCCCGTAAAGAACTACAGTCTCATTTTCATGTTACTGCTGGATGCAGGTTGCCCACAGCACAGCAGAAGCACTGAGCTAGGCTTTCAGATTCAGGACGGCAGTGCCACCTCCATTCATATCTCGGGAGATGTTTTTGTTTTGGGAGAAGCTAAAGTTTCGGTTCTTCAGAAGATGACAATCTAGCCCCTTGCTCTGCTAGCTGGAAGATCTCTCTGGTGGCCAGAAGCTGCCATGGAAATAAAGTCTGCAGCCTTGTGTAAAAATCTTAGTCATAAAATTATGGATTGTTGCAGTAAAAATACACAGAAGCAACCATTTACAGTTGCTGTGTATCGAATGAAACTCGACGTGCAGTCAGCAGATGTATTTCTGTTTGCAATGCATCCACGATAATTACTTTCTTTTTTTCTTACAGATTTGTGAATACTCCCAAGATTTTTATAGCAATGATCAAAACAGATATTTGCAGCAGAACTGAACCGCCTCTGAGGACAGTCTGTTCGTTGAGGTGCCAGTAAACTCTGGCGCTCGGCTGCCGCCAATTTTAGAAGAGCTTTTCCCAAGCCAGGGCTGCAGCAGGGCTGAGCTGCCATGGTCCTGGCAAAAGCGTGGCTTGGGATCCGTGCAGTTACCTGTGCGTGGGTAGGGTCTCCTGAGGAAAAAGCTGTGAAGGGCTGTTTGAAGGCACGTATCCTGTATCATCTGCCACAGCATTAGCCCTGGAATATCCAAGATATGCTGCTTGCTTTTCTTCTCTCTTCACCTTTTGTGGTGGGTCGGGGTTATCCCAGTGTGCTGTTTAGACCGAGCACTGCTTCCAAGCAGTTGCGCGTTTCCTGTATTCTTGATTGCATATGCAACTGCCACAAAACTGCCTCCCTTTGAATTTCTTCCAAACCTTATACTCGCTGTGATAATCGATATCAGCGTGACAGATGCGGAAGTGCTCAGCGCTCTGGCATAGTTTAACTGTACATGTTGCGTGGCCCAGATTGCAGATCATCGTTTTGTCCAGCTATCTGGAAAATATAGTAGTATGTGGAGATGACCGGAGGATATACATCACAACACAGCTTGCAATGAAAAAGCACTTTCTTATCTCGGAGACCCGGTGGCAGGAGGGTTGCTAGGGCTGGCTGTCGGGTTCCTCTAAGCTCCGGTGCTTTGCAGGTTTGCAATGGTAAGTGCTAGGGGAGGAACTAAATGCAAGGCCCAGTGCTTAAGCTTTGGTTGACTAAAGCAATTGCATGTTTCTAGCTTCTAAATGCTCACTGGAAAGTGAATTTTGTCAAATGGTGTCAATATTTAACACATCCATCTCCCGAATCATCAAAAATTCTTACCTTAAAGTCCTTTAAAGCCTTAGCACGTCTCCTGTTGATGTGATCACTTTTCTTCCTCTCTGAGATATAAAAGGTCGGGGAGATGAAGCCTTTTGCTGAACCATTCCCAAATGTTGTTTGAACTTTACTGTAGTTAGTGGTGAACTGTTACAGTTGAAGAAACTCTCTTCGGATGTCTGCCTGCAGGCTCAGAGCTCATGCTTCTAGTCCAGAAATTTTAGACTACATTTTTATATTAACCTCTAAATACTGTAGATAGCATTTTTAATTTGAGCATTTAATTATACCCATAACCACGTAACGTGTTTTTATTCTCATTCCTGGAAACAACTAATAGCCTTGGTTCCCTCTTTCCTTGTGCTTTTGCTAACTGCTGCAGCCAATAAGTCGTATAGGACACAAAGATACATGGTTGGCTTTATTTTTTTTATTTATTTTTTTCCCCAGCAGCTGTTTTCCTCTCTGTCTCTTCGGTATGCTTCAGCCTTAACCATTCCCATTGCTAAAGGCGTCCTGTTCTGCAGCAGTCACGTGCCTGTGCAGCTATCGCATGGACGTTGGGGGTTTGGGAGATGTTAACTGTAAACGGAGGCAGGTTCTTGTCGCGTTTTGGGTCACGCGGCAGCAAAACAGTGGTTATTCAGCCGCACAGTGGTTCCAGCTCATCCCTTCTGTGCTCGTTCTCATGTCGAGCCGGGTTGCACAAATCAGTTACCCAGGGCAGATTTGATCATGGACTAAGTGTAAGCGAGCTGGCTGCGAGCTGGTATCAGGTAGTGTGCAACGTCTTGCTTGTAGTCAGCGTAAAACAGCTTCCCCAGGGAGGAGCGTTACTGCGTGTGCTACAAGTACTGCTTGGAGCTTAGACTCCTGCTTCTCACCGCAGCTGGATGTTGTGGCTGGATCCTTTGTTATGTGCAACCTTAATTTTGTTTCATTTTTGTTTCCTTGAATGCAGAAATAGGCTGTAGCCTGGAAGTGCACATCTTAAGCTAAACATTGCCAGGATTTCATTGTCCTCAGGACATTGAAATTAGCTGCAGAATAACTGGAGTCACCTTTCTGCGCGCGTAACTGTGAGTCCCTTCCGCATCAGTTTGTACAACAACCCACGGGAGTGGTGTGAGTTAGTAAATCCAGGTATGTGGCATGAGCATTTTGGGGGTGTCAGGAAGGGCTCTCATACCCCTGTGGCCCCCCTGATTATGTTGTCACTGCCTGAGCCTCAGCATGGCACCGCGAAGGCTCTGCCCGCAGAGGAGATGAGTGCCCTGGCCCGTCTGAGCTCCCGTTGTGGCAGTGCCTGGCGATCCAGGGAGCCACCAGGACAAAGGACGATCAGGGACTGCCTGCGGGACCCGGCTCAAAGCGGCAGCGAGGGGAAAGCGTTCCCGCTGCCCTCTGAAAACGTAAAGGACAAGAAGGGGCTGGAGGAGGAGCTGGGCTGTACCTTCACGAGAGATTTCCCCTCATCTACAGCTTTTGGGGGGCTTCTCTGCCACTATCCCTGTTGTTGTTAACTGGGACAAAAGGCAAGAGGCAACTGATCCTGAAATCCAGCATTGCATCAACCTGGTGAGCTAAGAGCAGCCACAAAGACCCAGGAGGCCCTGAGTCACAGCCATCTGGATAGAGAAACCTGAGCTAGGCAAGGGATCGCTTCCCACATGTATTGCAAATCACGATATCACTACACAGGGAAGACAAAAACAACTCTCTTCTGGGTACTGCAAGAGCCCAACTGTTTTAACCTTCCTTGGCTGTCTCGTGGGATTTTCATTCTTTCCTGGTACTCAAGAAAAGCATCTGCTCCGGAGAGCGTACAGACTTTTCTGTCCTTTGGAGCTGAACGTGCCAACATACAGTCAGCATGTAAGCTTGCTGCATCCCATGTGCTCGATAGCATTTTCTGCTTACACCAGCACAGCCATTCCTCAGCTCTGTCTTAGCTTTGAGCTAAGAAGCGATAAGTTTCTTCTAGCTATCTATCTTGTAAGAAGAGGAGGTGCTGGAGTAATCCAACAAACATATTAACGCATGTTGTCAGCTTTTAGCTATGCATGGGTTGTGGGAGCTGTTGGTCAAGACACGTTGCAGAGACTTGTTTAAAAAACAGCCTAAAACTGCCCTGCTGTCTTGTTTATTTTGCAGTGTATGTTTTATGCTGGTAGGTGGGTGTCCCAAGGAAACTCGCACCCCACAGTGGAGGTGTCCGTTTAGTCCTTCCTGCAGCAGCAGAAGCAAACTGCGGTTTAACCTGTTGCTTTTCTGAACAAACCTCCTTTCTACTCTTAGGAGACAGCCTCTAAAGTCAGGATAACCTCCAGAGGTGTGCTTATTCCTTTTTAGATGATCCGCAGTGTCACAAGGTTTCAACAGCAGGCGCAGCTCCTGAAAACTGCTGCCATTTCCAGGCTGACCAAAGAATGGGAAAGGACTGCAGTTCCACGCCTGGCAAAGAAACGGTCATTTTTGCTGGCTCATCTCTAACGGAGCAACAGGAGCTCAGGTTTAAAAGATGACATGTCCAAAGTATTTCTGCAAGCCCCTGAAAAACAGATACAGAAAGTCACAGGAACAGGCCTTTGAAACACAAGCAAGAGGTAAGAGTGAAGGCTGAGCCATGGCTTGCACTTCATGGACCCTTCTGGAGAGCACGCCAGCTCTCCGGGGGAGGACTGGGCTGCTGCCTGTGTTGTCTGTCTCTAAACTTACTTCTGAGATACACTCCTAAGTGCTCTCCAGCAGAGATATGCTGTTTCCTTACCCCTTCTGTACTGCAGGAGAAAAGCCTGAACTGGGAGATCTTGACAACGTGAAGTGTGGAGAACGCAGTGGATCTCCCTCCATAGGGCTACTTTTCACTCAACGTTCACAAATTTCAGTGACGTATAAAGCGCAACCTTGTCCATGCACTGCTCTTTGCTTTTAGGCTCTAATGAATTTTAACTTTGCATAGTGAAGCACTTGCTCACAAGCAGTGCATTTCCGTTTTAAAATAGAGGAAAATCAAAGAAGAATCTTCATTAAAATGCCACTAAAACGCTTGTTTTCAGAGCCTGCAAGGTGCGCTGGAACAACACCCGGGGCAAGTTTGCACTGCAGCTTTTGAGCACCGAGGTGAGTATAGCAAATGCAGTGAAAGCCATGCTGGCACACGGGGCTCTTTGTCCAAGCTGAGACCCTTGAACTGTCGCAGTATGCCCTGCAGTAGTCCTCTCTGGTTGTTTGAGACCTGTGCCAACCTCTTCTTCGCCATGCTGGGGAGGCCGTAGATGCTGTGCAAAAGAGGACAAGCAAGAGGATAAGCACGGGATATTTTTCACTTGCTCCAGGCTCCTCCAGTCTTTCAGTCTTCCAAGAGCGTGTTTTGCTGTCATTCTTGCAAATACTCAGGCTGCAGTTCTCCTGTCCAACTCACCAGTCAAAGTCTTGGCAAACTGAGCAGTCCAGGTAAGCTGCGTGACGGAACACCATGAGGCAAAATGGTACCAGTTTCAGAAAATGCGACTCCCAGGGAAATTTTGGCTTGAGGTAGCAGGAGCATATGGTTTTCTAAATTCGTTCCCAGAGGGGCTTCACTTCAACCTCACACCAAAGGTTTCCCAGCTTTCTAGCCAAGCAGTTCATTTTCTAAAACAAGAGAAATCAGCAGTTTTGTGCTAGCAATGCTTGGAGTTATCTTTTACCAGTGAAGGAATCCTCTCCGTCTCGTTCGAATTTTGCATAAATGCAGAAACTACTGTGTAAGAAGAGTTGTAATATTGAGACAGGGGAGATCAGAACACAGCATTCCTCTGGATATAGTTTGATGCAATTTTGAGCTACTTACAGAAGATTGGCTGAAAGGTAAACTGATTAGGGCAAAAAAAAAAAAAAAAAGCTGTGCTATTAAACTATGTTAGTGATTCCTTAGTTTGGAATAGCTTTTTCATGATCTCAGACATCTAGGACAGATGCGCATATTTTTCATGTCAGAATGAAGGTGCAACTAGCCAGCAGCTCTTGTGTTTGCAAAGCCGGCGTCCTGCTATGAATCTCATCTCAGTCCGTTGACTGCAGAGCCCTCTGACTTTGACCTTCCTGTGTACAAGTTGCACCCCGGGTACATGTGATAAATGCCAAGGCGGGTATGGTGTGGAGAGCTGTGCTTTGGGAGCCGTTGGCCAGCTGTTGATCGCCAGCTGTTGTAAAGGATGCTGCGGCGTTTTGTGCAGCAGAAAAACTGATTCTTGATTCCTGGTTGGATTTCAGGTTAGGGGATTGTTTTCTGCCAAGCTAAACTCCCCCCCACAGTTTCAGCTGTACGTTGCTCCCTTTCTATTCCAGTGGCACCATTATGCACTGGTCATCAGCTGCTGCATTTAATCTCAGAAGCTGTAGTTGGTAGCAAGCAAAGTGATCTCCATATAACCTCTGTCTTACTCATAAGCGTGCATTATGAAGCTTAACCGATGGTAATAAAATGTTTCGCTTTCAACATGCAGTCCCTGTGGTCCAATGTTCCCGTTATTACAGAAGCGCAATGTATTAGAATTATTCTGCTGCCCCCAAGTTTCTCAGGAACGTGTCTCGTAATGTTGGGTGCAGGCATCAACTTCTAGCAGTGCATGTGAATATCCTGGTAGGACTAGGTAACGCTGAGCAGCCGTAAAGTGATATTTTATCTTTTTGGCCTCAGAAAAGTAACTGCAAATGCTCCAAACGGCGTTGTTCTTTGGCAAAGGCTGGTATCTTCACGGCCGAGACGCAGGCACTGACACGGGCGGACGTGCTAAGGCTCTTGGTATCTCCCTTGCTTGTGACCCGCTCTGGCAGGTTTCAGTCTGGCTGCAGTAGTCTCACGGTACAATTTTGTGTTAGTGCCTCTTCCGAGCCTCCTGTGGTATATGGGTGAAGAGAAATGTATTGTTTCCCACTGCTTTGCACACCTTCTGCTTGCCTTTTTTTCACCCCTTCTTGAACTACTCCAAAGAGTCATTGTTTTATAACAGTTTTTTATTTCAACTGTGTACAAAAAAAGATGGGTTTATATCATCCTGCACGAAGGATATTTTTGTGCAGGAAAAAAAAAAAGATGTTTCTCATCTCTATTTAAGTAACCGTACCACACGCAGAAAGTCAGAAGCCTGTTTGTGGAATTTCAGTTTGGTTAACGCATCATCGACGCTTTTCTTGAAAGCATCTTTTCTTTTAAAAATAACTTAAACCTCATACGATTTTTTGTTCCCCGAAACTGAAAGCACGAATCTCCACGTCTCATTTTTGTACTGTGGGTTGAGTTAAACCTACAGCTGGTGGGTTTTTTTGTTTTTTTTTTTTTTTTGAGTTGGGCGCAGTTTCCCATGCGTGAAGCTTGTGGAAGGCAGTTCCCAAGTGTGAGTGTGTACAGAAGATGGATGATGATTTCTTCCCGGAATTGGCCTTCCGCTGTAAGGTCTGGTTTTCTGCTGTGCTAATTCACATATAATTAGAAATGGCCCTGCGTTTGCGTTACGCCTCTGATACTGTGTGATCTTGGGTCGCTTTTCACTGTGTCTGGGAATCACTTTATTCACCCCTGAAAGTCTGCGTTTAATTGCGGCATACAGATACCTGCAGGCTTCGATGCAGCAAAAGCCTCTGCATCCAAAAATAAAGCGTTGCTTCTAAGATGCTTTCAAATTGGTCCTATTTTTGGAGGCAGGAGAAGTTGCCAAGATTATTTACATGAAAATCTGGTGCGCTGACTGAGGCACGATTTCACTCATTTCTTAAAAAAACAGCTCTGAGCAGAGCTTGAGCTGAAGGTAAGACCATGAGCTAACACACTCTCCTGTGAGAAAGGAACATTCAATAAAAAGACCTGGAAAATGAGCAATTTGGGTACTGCAGTTTCCACACTAGCAAGTTTTCAGTACATGCAATGTTTGGGTTTGGTCTCCATTTTGACGCCCGCGTTACTGGAAAGCAGTGTTCTCCAGGCGTCTCCGGATATAAGAAGTTATGACATGGTAATATATGATCACCCAGTGTCACGAGATCGACACATTGCATTTGATAAGAGCAGTCACGGAAAACGCTGCCTTGCCCAACGAGATGCACAGCGGTCGCTTTTTGTCCTGGAAGACTCCAGCATCGTTTACCTTAAAGCAGTATCGTGAAAGTGCAGACACTTTTCCCCCGGTGAGTTTTGGGAGCGACCTATTTTGTAGGTCACTTGTTACCCTTTGTAATTTTTTCCCGCAGTAGATGTGTTGTCTGCTTCTGGAAAAACCTTCTCTCCCTAGTGTCTGCTCTCTAATTAGGTCCGTGAAAACGTTGACAGCTTTAAACCGAAATGGACCTCTGCAAACACAAAGCGCATTTCAAACCGTTGTGCTCAGTCCCAAAGCGATTCACAAAAGGGGCAAAGCGCTGCCGAATGCAAGCAGGAGCCTCAGATGGCAAACTCTGGCAGGTGAGCACTTCTGTTTCGAAAGGAGCTTTCCCCGAAAAAAGATTTGCATTGGGATCGCGTGCCCCAGGTGTGGGGCAGCCGGTTGTTTCCTCGGCAAACGCTCGGGATGGTTGATCACGACGCACGTTGTGTTTGTGAGGGCCTGGGAAGGCATTTGGGATGTTCAGTGACCGTTTTCTTGGTGCCTACTGAAGCATATTGAGGAGTGCAGGTCTGCCCCCCCCCTTTTTTTTTAGGGCCCTTTCTTTTGAAGAGAAATTGCCCTTCTGTGATTCCTGCGTGCCCATATAAAGGATGAGCCAAACGACATTTATGCTCGGCTTCCTTGCTTCTTCCACGGCTTCCTCTCCTCTCCGGCTTCCTTTTCCCAGCTCGTTATTCGTTCTCTCGTAGCTGGGTAATACCCGGTGCTAGACACGTTTAGGCCATACCTGCTTATCCAAAGTCCTTCTCTGGCATGTTCCCCGTTACAGAAGTGAAGAGCCGACGTTAGGATCGTCACGCTTGGTAGGCTGCTTTCACCGTCTTGGCACTGCATTGAACGTTCTTTCGCTGGTAGGGTGGTGAAGAAAAAACAAACGAGAACAAAACACGAATAAGCAAATAAATAGGCTAAGTGTAAGATAGCGTGTAAAAGGAGGCGGTCGGCAGCGCGGCTCCTCCGTAAGCTGCATGACGAGGGCCGGCGAAGCTTGCCACGACGCCGGGCGGGCTCACCGGGGTTGCTTTTGCTAGACTCGGAGTAGCGTAGTAGCAAAGACTCATAACTGTCCTGAGAGATGCTTGTTTTTTCTGGTAAGCGGTGTCCCTTTGCTTTCCCGGCTGGGCTGTGTTAATGGCATTAATGGAACCGTCCTTTATCGTCCCCGAAGTGGCGTCGAGGTGTTTGCTTGCCGGCGTCCCCGAGCCGAGCGGCAGCAGCATGCGGCACTCTGCGGTGGTGCGATTTGCCGCCCTTGTGGTGCGGCCTGTGCCGTCGCGGTGCTGCCTACGGGTTTGCTTTCGTCCCTACCTGCCGCGCACAGTCTCCCCGCGCTTTGGACGCCGAACCAAACCGACTTGCAAGCTAGCACTTTAAGTATTAGTAGTCACTTTGCTCCTGACTGTGTTGAGCACTGCACTTTTTGGAAGTACCGTTAGCACTGAGTTTGGAACCGCGTGTTTTTTCCCTGTCCGCGCAGCCTCTTACGTGCGCCGTGAAATGCCGTAGGGGCCCTCAGAAGATCGTTTTGAGGTGTGCGTGACCACTGTCTGGTGCCTAATTTCCATTACGTATATGGTAGCAATTTTATGCGTTAGGGGAATAAACCCGTCCAAACTGATTTTAGGTAACGGAACGAACGTCTGAATCGCTGGTGTCCAGGTGGACGCGGTTGCTCTGAACTCGGAGGTCGCCCAGAGGACCAAGAGCATGGCTTTTAAACCACCAAAGATACAGGAGGGGTCACAGAGGGGGTTGGGAGGGAGCTGGATTGTATATTTTACACTTCCAATTGCACAGACCATGGGATGTGCCGTAGGGCTCGAGCGAGAAGCGTGTGGCAGGTGCTCTCCATTTTGACACGAGAGCTTGGCCTGCGGTATCAGGGTGGGTCAATGGGAAGTGAAGTTAAAACCACTCTGAGGTGCCGGCGTCGATAAAGACTGCGCTCAAGCCATCGCAATAAAAACCATCACTGTGCCTGTACTGAAAGTGCTGTCGAGATAGCGTGCGGGCTTAAACTACAAAAAAGGGGGTTTTAAACAAAAGTCTTGCAGATGATTTAGAAGTCGGAGAACGATGACTGTTGAATCGCAAAAGCGGTGGCAGGAGTTCATCAGGTTTCGCGTTTGGGAGCAATTTTGGCATGCGTCGTTCTCGCTAAGTCAGTGCGACACCGAGGTACGGCTGCTTTGCGACCGGCGCTCCCTCGCCAGCAAGAAAGCGGTGGGATAGGGTTTGTCCCACACGGCAAACGTAGCTGTGATCCTTGGGGGTATGAAATCGGGCAATGATCCTTGGCACGTAGACAGTTCCAGGTTTTGATATCCCAGACTGTAAACTCGCAACCCGCTGGCGGTGTGTTGCTTCTTTCCACACCCTGACGGGTTTTCCGTGGCATCGCGGTGGTTGCGAGGGTGCTGCACGTCCTTCCCGCGAGGAGATCTGCGTTTCGGATTCCTGTTCGTCCTGGTTTATTATACAGAGTCCATTGAAGCCTTTTTTGGCAGTGCCCCTTGGTGGCCGTTTCTGCCTTGACCTGATGGATAAGGGCCGCTGTTTGTAGCAGTCAGTCGCAGGATCAGTGTAAACTGAGAAAAGTGAGTTGGACCTTGTCCTTCACCACTAGCAAGCGGACGTGGTGGAAAGAACCTGCAGAGGAAAAAGGAGGAATAGAGGTTGTGTTTCTTTCAGCAGATGAAGTAATTTTTTCCTGACCGGCTCCAGGCTGGGAGGATGTTCTTGCTTGGGTCCAGCTTAAGCTTTTTTCTTCCATAGACCTTTTTGGGTTTGGGTATTCAGTCAGAAGTGGGAGTGATTAAAAAACAACAAACCCTGAGCAGCCTGAAGTCTTACGCTCGTATATTCTGTATCATTTGATTTTTAAAGTGGTAATGACAAATAGAATCGAGATTTTTTTTTTTTTTTAAACAGCCAAATTGACTCTGCAAATCCACCTTTAAAGAAATACTATCTGGCAACATTGCTACATCTTAGCCCCCAAATTATAGTGGACCCCGGGGATCGGCCTTTCCGGAGAGTAACTTTGTGATTTAGAGCCTACATCCCGCCGGCTTTCACTAAGAAGTAGACTTACACTTTTGAAAATTCAGCCCACGTGTTGTAACCCCGCAGTGAGCGAAACAGTCTCGTTTAGTCTTTGGAAATGAAGCTTGCAAGAAAGAGGGGACTGTAGACCAGGTCCTTTTTTCCCCCCTCCCCGGGCGTAGTCTTTTGCCCCTTCAAGTTGGCATCTCGTCCTTTGGGAGCTTAAAAATAAGTGTTTTCTGCTGCACGGCACAACGCGATGCCCCAGAGTGTGGCACCGCTTACTTTGGAAGAACCTTTTAAGAGGAAGAAAGTTCTTCTAGGGATTTTTCATTGCTTGGTTTTAAGGTAGCTCCTGGAAAATGCATTGTAACGGCGCACAGACACTGTGTTACTGACCTGTTCTTTTTAGGAGACTTTTTAATTTCCTTCCGTAGTTTTGAGTTCTTTTTGGAAAGTATTTCAGACACCTATAGCCGGCCTTGAAATGAGTCAAGTTTATCAAAAAAAAACGTGCGTTGCAGGAAGCAGTCCCAAAACGCGCACGTACCCATGCGCCTGCCTGGGCGTACGTGCATGGCTGTATGTGGGCGTATACATAGATAGATATTTTCCCCAGCGGTTCTGTTTTTCGAGTTTTGTTTTTATTTTTATTTTTTGCAGGATATTAACCAAAAGGTGTTTTAAAGTCATGGCATGAAAAATCCTAAATGTAAATCTGAGTACATTGTGATGCTGATGAACAGGTTTTCTGAAACTTATGTGATGCTTAATATTTTCCTTGGGAAGTTTTGTTTCATGTTAGATCATTGTTCCGAGGGATGTTGGTCCTACTGGCATTAAAATAACGGAAATAAAATGCATGTGTTACCAGTGTAGAAACGGTGAAGAATTAAGTGTGAACCTTACTGTACGATACTAAATCTGTTCTCAAACAAGCTGTTTTGCTGTTCAATAGTTGACATATAAAAATGCAAATGTACTGTAACTTAGCACTTTCCCAATGGACCCTGTTCTCACTATGCCGGAGGTAAGAGGCGGGTTTGGCCGGGGGCGTCCGGGACGCATTTTCTCCGGGCGCCTCGGTACCGTCCCCGCTTGCGTTAGTGCGT